AGCCAATTTGCCATGCTGCCAGACAACAATCTCAAGCATAGAAGTGGGCAGGATAAACAAAGTAAATTTCAACTTATCTGGGCATTGCCAGACCACAGTTTCTTGCTGTTTTTCTAACAATGCTAACAGTGCCAACTGTCCAGAGCCCCAAAAGAGATTTCAATCAGTTTAATTCAGGTTTAATGTAATGTTTAGGGTGCAACACTTACTGTGTTGTATCATAGGGCAACTTCAACAAGAGGACATGAACTACAGCGAAAAAAGGGTAGGCACTAGTGCAAGTTCAGGAGTAATGAACAAATATGAGAGATGTAACCATAGGAAGCAAGAGAGGATGTAACTAGGTCTGTATTAAAACTAAGAGGAGTGCAAGACAGGCATTTAGAGGGAAAAACATTACAGGGTAGCAGAGCTAGACAGATAGGTGGAGGGAGCTGGATGGGCTATGTGGCTTCTTTCCAGCCCAAAATGTTGCTATTTAAAACATGACCAGAGGGAAATAAAGTTAGAAGGCCCCTGTGCCTCCTGTTTAAATGAGTCAAATTGAGGAGGCAGCACTTGGGTGATTCCATTCTAACTGCTGGTTTCCATACAGGTTTTCTGGACATCCTCCCTGCACCCCACATAATAACAAACCTTTAAGAATTGGTCTATAATGCCCTGTTCCACATCTGGGATACCTGCCAAAACACATGCCCTGCCCACTTGCTCCCGTTCACTATGCCCCAAATTCTGGGAATGACATGATGTAGTTGCCTCAGAATGGTCCTGACTGCGTGCCAAGAAGGACAGCAGGAACACAGAGCCTTGGCAAAGTACTGGGGCATGTGTTCAGTACCACTCCAAGCTAGGCACATGGCCCTGATGCTAGGCTTTGGTGCGTGCTGACCTGAAGGATTTTGAATGGATAAAAGAAACAGAAGTTGCTCAAATGAAAGGGATAAAATGTTTTTGAAAGGTTTTGGGGAGTTTCTTTGGCCATTGTTCTTGTGTCCATGTGATTCTTGTGAAGTTCATTGGAGGGCCCTATTCTCTCGATGCAGAGGCTATCGGGTTATCGTAGAGTCCTAAAGGTATAGTGGACATCTGAAGAAGACTGTATTAAAGTGCAAATGGTGTGACACAGCTCAGGGACACCATACTGGAACTGCTTGGTTCTGGAAGATCCTAACTTGTGAACAATGTACCAAATGAAGAAGAAAGTAACTATTTTGTAGGGAAGTCCAAGAGGGTGCAGAAATAATAGCCCATTCTGAACCTAGGGCAGCATGGAACTGAAAGCAAACTGTTTCTAGCGGTCTGCGCTTCTTTCTATGAGGCAAGATGGATAGCTGGTGACTGTGAACAGTGCTTAGTAAGGAAAGGGTAGACATGAATTAAAAACACAAGTAAATTAAAATGTTCCTGAAGGTAATTTCTACTGAAAATAGCACAATGACTTTATTATTTGCACTGTTAGTATATGGGACCAAAAATTCAGTTAGGTTTCGGTTGAAAAAGGACCAGCTCTCAAACAGTCACCGTGCCCCCTGAACTGAACACAAAATGCATACCTATGAAGTCGTATAAAACTTGCTTAGGGCAGCCCTTCTACTTATTTATCATTCTTGTCCCTTTTCAACTACTCATGCAGTTGAGGTGGAGTGTGCAGGTAACCAGTACCTTGAGTAGGGAAGGGTAAGAACCAGCAGAAGCAAAGGCTTGGACAAGCCAATTAAGAAATCAAACTTTGGGGAACAAATCCATACATTCTTGGAGGTTCTTTGCAGATGAAGATATTAGGAAGGTGACTGCCCATGCTAGTTCCAGGCCCGCTGGTGACTAATCAGTCCAACTGCAGAGAGACAAATCTCTGTATTCTTCGTCCTCCTCCTCTTCTTCTTGATGCTGACTCTACACTGACATTCAAAAAGGGCTGTTGCCTTTTTGATTTGGAGCCACCAGGCATTGCAATTTGCAGCCTGTTTCCCATAGTTTGTGGGAATACTGCAGACAGAAAAGGACCTCTTCAGGGTGCCCCTGAAACACTTGCGTGGGGCCCCTCTGTCACATTACCGAGTCATCAGTTTCCTGTATAGAATGGCCTTTGGTATGCAGTTGTCATCCAACCAGGTCATGTGGCCGGCCCACCATAGCTGAGTCTGCAGGAGAATGTTGGTGGTTTTGGCTCTTTGTAACACCTCCACATTGGTAACATAATCCTGCCCAGGGGCGACGTGTAGGGGGTGCATGTGGGTGCACATGCACCCCCTGAGCATGGCAGCAGTGCACCCCCTACAAAAAGAAGGCAGCATCTGTAGGCAGTCCGTGATCCCCAATGGCCCCCACCAACACTGCCACCAGCAGCTGCAGGTGGTCTCCGACCCTTGCTCACCACCCCCCCAACCCCCACTGACAGTGCTAGCAGCATCTGTGGGAACTCTCCCACTTACTGCCACTGTGCTCCTGCCATCGCTGCCGTGGTCCTGGTGCCGCTCTGCCCCCCCAGTCACCAGGGGCACGCATCGTTCGTGATCCTGCCAGCAGATCTTGAGAATGGTGCAGAGGCAGCGCTGATGAAAATGCTTCAGGAGGTGTATATGGTGGCAATATAAGACCCATGATTCAGCACTGTACAGTAGAGTGGAAATAACAACAGCTCTGAACACCTTAACTTTGGCCTGTACCCATCAGGGCCATGCGAAGCTTCAGTAGCTGATTCGATTCGGAGGAGACTTCGCCCAATTCAGCAGCCGAATCTCTGAATCCGAATCAAAACAGGTGACCCATTAATATCTCCTAACTGAATCGGAAGCCTCCGTATCGATTCAGAGAGATTTGGAGATTCGGCCATAGACTGTACAGGCAGGCACTAGGCAGTGCCAGTGGGACCAGCTGGGGGAGCAGCCGGAAGAGCACCGGTTTGAGACGGCAACCCTGGGAGAAGCCGTGGCTCCCCCGGCGGCTCCCCGGGCTGTTGCCCCCCAATTGGGGTGAGGCAGGCAGTGCTAGCAGCCCCAGGAGAAGCCACAGGGGCTGGGGGGAATGATTGGGGAGCTGGAGGATTGAACCGGGAGCTGGGGGGAATGATTGGGGCTGGGAAAACTAACAGGGGCTTCCCCCCAGCTCCCACTTAGATTCCCCAGTTCAATCCCCCAGCTCCCAATCATTTTTCCCGGTCCCTGATCCTTCTCCCTTGCCCCCATGGCTTCTCCCAGGGCTGCCAGCACTGCCTGCCTCACCCCAGTGGGGGGTAGCCAGGGGAGCAGCTGGACGAGCTGCGGCTAGAGCCAACAGCCCCGAGAGAAGCCGCAGGGCTGGAGGGAATGATCGGGGAGCTGGGGGAATGATCGGGAGCTGGGGAATCAAACCAGGAGCTGGGGAATCAAACCAAGAGCTGGGGAGAAGCCCCCGTTCATTCCCCCAGATCCCCGATCACTCCCCCCAGCCCCTGCGACTCCTCCTGGGGCTGCCAGCATTGCCTGCCTCGCCCCAGCAGTGGGGCAGCTAGGGCAGTAGCCGGATGAGCCCCAGCTTCTCTCAGGGCTGCCAGCTCAAGCCAGGGCTCGTCTGGCTGCTCCCCCAGCTGTTCCTGTCGGCACTGCCTGCCTGTACAGTTTATGGCCGAATCAGATTCGGCACTGAATATCTTTGGATTTGGCCAAATCAAATTGGGACAGAGATTCGAATCACTGAATCAAATCACTGTCCCTCCAAATCGTTGAATCCAAAGCAAATACTTTCCACTTCACACAGGTCTAGTGCCCATTAGGCTGTGACTGTTCCAGACCTGCTTGAAGAGTCTGCCAAAGGCACTGCTGGCTTTTGAGAGTCTATTGTCTACCTCCTTGTCTATCATGGCATCATATGAGTAGACACTCCCCAGGCAGGTGAACTGCTTGACAGCATTTAGCTCAGTTCCTTCAATAGTAATCTTCAGTGGCACGTAAGCTTAGTGTGGAGCTGCCTGATGAAGAGCTTCAGTCTTCCTCAGCCTGATGGCGAGTCCGAAAAGTTGTGTCCATGCTGACTGTCATGGAATTGCCTGACCATGGTGAGGAACTTAGGTGGGCATCCAAGCTTCTTGAGAATCTTCCAGAAGCCCTCTTGGCTTAGGATGTCAAATGCCTAATAAGGTCGATGAAAGTGATGTACAGCTCCTTGTTTGGCACCTGGCACTTTTCCTGTATTTGTCTGAGCACAGATACCATATCTATTGTGCCTCTGTTTGCTCTGAAGCCATATTGCCTCTCTGGGAGGACCTCTTCTGCTATGGCAGGCACGAGCCTGTTCAGGAGGAGTCTAGCACAAATCCATACAAAAGCTTATGAACTGTACTATCGTGTGTGTGTGTGTGTGCGCATGTGTGGCCCGTGTGCACTCTTGCTTTAAGAATCTCCATCTGTACTATGTAACACATTCAAAGGCATACTGGGGTTGCACACTGTCAATAATCCAATACATCATTTATGCTAAAGGCAATAAACATGAAGCAATTTTGAAATGAGAAAAATATTATACTACTTGTCTTTTTATTTGGCATAACAATTATCTCTGTGCTTTGGCATTAGTGGACCAAGAAGAAAGCACAAAGATAACTCTTATATGAGCCTCAATCCATGAGAGAGAGAGAGAGAGAGAGAGAGAGAGAGAGAGAGAGAGAGAGAAGGGAAAGGGAAGAGAGAGTCAGGGTGGAAGCTTTGGGTCTTTTTTTTCCCCATTCAAATGTGGTAAACACTGAATATTCCTATTTGTAACCAAGTTAACACATGAACACAGATACAGGTGGGTAAATTAATGCACTCGCATCACAGAGCCCCAGTATGAATAGAACAGGTTTGCAGAATATTGCTTTGGTGAAAGCTTTGAATTAAAAAATAAATCACGCTAATAAGCAGAAAAAAGTCATCATTTCACCACAATTTTAAATAGAGGATTGAACGCAAGCCCTGTTAGCATATACCTAGCAGGGCTGATTTCCCTGCCAACGTTCTTGGTGTAGGGGTCAGGAAAACTCTTACCTCATGCATCCAAACACTAAATGGCCTCTGCCAAGAGTCCTTTTTCTCCAGATGCAGGTATGCATTGAACAGGATCAGACAGATATATCGTTCCAAGTACTGTAGGCTCCTCAGCTGCAATGTTCTCATTTCTTTCTCTTCCTTAGCTGTTTTCCCCTGAAATGAATAATCAGTAACTGGGTTTGCTTTTGATATTAGGTAAGTAACTCAGAACCCCATTAGGATCAACCTGAAGAGCACATACAGGTATGCACTAAATAATAAAAAGCTATACACCAGGGGCCTAAATCTGAGCTGATAAAAGCAGGAAGGCAAAGAGAGAACACTTCTTAAAAAAGAGTATATTATTTCTTTGTTGTCTGGACAGAACTGTTAAAAGCAAGACATCTGATCATCCAAATGACATCTGACTATTTAATTTTGCAGAAAGGGAAGAGTACAATTAGCTTCAGTATTTTGGGAGACGTGTAGGAAATGAGTAACTGTGAGCTTAGCTGGTATATGAAATGCTTCTTATAAGACATTACTGAATTCTCAGCTCAGCAATTCCACAGTGATCAGAATGCCTCCTAAATTTTAAGAGCAGATCATCTAAAGAAGTGTTTGTCCCCTTTAGTGACTGACCTGCTGCAAAAGGGTTTATCTCCTTCTCTTTTAAGGATGTGTACCGTTGAGATGCTCCCACCATTTGGGCTTTTTCCCTTGGAACAAAAACATCCATTTTACAGAGCAAATCCTTTTTGTGGGCTTTTAGATAGCTATGCTAATTATGTGTATGATTGAAGAGGTTCTCCCAACCAAAATCAGACGGACATTTCATATCATTGGGGACCTTCCATTTAACATCCCCATTGGAATTTACCCTGAACGGCTTTCACTAAGCAGAAATTCCCATAATTCAGTGGAAAGCACCATTAAGAATGTATTATATCAGGGGATGCCCTTTTGTAAATCCACCAACTTGTCTATCAGAGAATTCACTCTCTTATCATGGAGCAAAATCCCTTCCCTCACTATCCCATCAATCCCTTGTGTCAGCCATGTCTGTCCATTTTTTAAAAGTTATCATGCTGTTAAAAGACTGAAAACACTGAAATCTGAGGGACTGGTCTGTGTTCAGTTTTTCTCTGTACGGGTAGTATGGCTCTTCCTGACTCAGACAAAGTCAACACATTTTATTTTTTTGTTGCTTTTTTCACTACAGTGACATCATACTATGTCTCCTTGGCAACTATAGAAGTAGCTAGTGATTTCACAATGTTTATATTAAAAATGAATGAGAGGGAGCTGTCTCTAATGGCTTCAATATACACAAAGCTCTGACCTTTCCATATATCAATCAGCTTTCCCTCTATGCATAGCAGGCCACCCACAACTCTTATTTTAACTCTCTGTAGAAAAGGAAGGACTCCATTTGCTGAGTCTAAATCACTAGTTTCCTCAAAAGCACCACTGTGAACAAGAGGCAAGATAGTTCAACCACCTTTTAAAGCATACAGGCACTATGAAATTTTTCTCCAATTGAGTTAACGATGTATCAGCAAGTAACACGTGGGCAAAGGAATGTTTTTGCAGGTGCATACTGGCCTTTGCTTTTCAAGCACATGGCCCTTTATACCTTGATACATGATGCATTTATGATTGTAAATGTTAGTCTGTCTTGATGTTTAGAAGATCTTAAAGTTCCCTGAAAACACCCTCAAATCAAGTACTTTGGACGGAAGGGTCAACCAGCCTTCTGCTGGTTACAGAAATAGGTATGAACTTTAGCATCATTCTTACATTAACCTGGCAGTTTAAGCTCTCCTTAACTTGTGGTTTCAACTGTATAAAAACTTCCTCTTTGACATGTAGTTTACAAAAATAGAAGAGGTATGGCTATGTGTGTGTACTATGGAACTGCCAGGAATAGGCATTCTGTGCCTCTTCAGACTATAAACTGTACCCGGTCTTTGTTATGACTCTTCTATTTTTGAGTGGCCAGGGGCTTTGAGCCACTGAATTGGTTCTTCTTTGACTACTGTCCTTAACTTGACTTTGATCAAGGCACAATCCCACAACAGAAGCATTTCAGGGCAACATCAATTTCCAGGTATCCTGGGGGTTTAAGTCATGATTTCCAGGTGAGTTCTCCAAGGCTCTACCCATGCCCATGCTTCACTTGAATTCCTCACTTTCAGCAGTAAGTAGGCCTTAGATGCTTTCATATTGCCTTCCAGAACAGAGGTTGAGTGCACAATGCAAACATCTATATCAATAGATGTCTACTATTATTTCCAGGTCTAAACCCACACATGTTCTTCATTGCATTGGACACTACAGCAACAGGAAAACAATGCAGGGGGCATCACAGTTAGTCAAGCAAATATTATGCTTGAGAGATGACAAATTACTCAAAGGAACTCCAGAACTACTCAGCAAAGAACATTTCCTCAATGTCGGGCAAAAAAAATCCAAAACAACTGCAACATTAAGAACATGGGAAATGCCATATTTTCACAAATCCAGAATATGCCCAGGCCAGCATGCCATCTCTGAGGGAATTTAATACCACAGGCTTCAGAAGGACACATGGGAAGCAGATGCAAAATGATCTGAACCCCGGATAATTTTCCTCGCATAATAAAAGACTAATTTAATGCCTGAAATATGAGGATCTGGACAGTCTTGTTATCCTTATAAATAACCAATCCCTTTTTTAATCCAGGTGAATTTTTATCTCTAATTTCCTGCAACAATTGGTCATACAGTCAATTATTTTCTGAGAAAAAAGTGTAGCAGGGGCAGGGGCGCAGCCTCTGCTATACCTCCATGGAACTGGCAGTACCAGGAAGAAACTTACCTGGCTGGGTCTGAGCGAGTAGTGCATCCCTGGTGTGCTGGAAGAAAAGTCTGGGGGAGAAATGAAAGCCAAGAGCAGGCACCTGGGGACGGAGTAGACATGCCCCAAGGAGCCTGCACTGATTGGTTTGGGGAAAGCCTGGGCTTTTTAAAAGAGAGATGCCAAGAGAAGCACAGTGGTAGGCATCTCTGGGGACAAAGACTGCACCGCTGGGTCAGGAGGACGTCCAGCAGAGCTGGGAGTCCAGCCAACCGAACTTGTGGGATCACCAATTCAGGAGACTCACAAACAAGGGACATCCACTGAGAAGTCTGGAGAGATAAATAGCGATGGACAGCGAGGAATGAAGGGTGGTCCCCCAAGCCTGAGAATAAGGGGCAAGAGGAGAATTCCCCAGGGGACTGGTGGTCAAGCCCTCCGAGAAGGGGGCAAAGGCAGACCCACTGAGGATTCAGGTAGTCTTAAGAAAAGTGGAGGCAGCCCAGCCAACAGAGGAATTTGTCCAACCCAGCAGAGGGAACTCCAGCAGTTTGAAGCAGAGAATGTTAGCCTGGCTGAACACCCAAATCCTTCTTGCCTAGGCAGGAGCCAGAATCGATGATCTGTTGAGGTCTCTTCCGACCCTAGCATCTATGCATCTATGACAGAAGCCAGTGAAACCAGGGCTTTTTCATTTGTAAATGTGTAGTTAGGACCCATAAGCCGGGGACCAGAGTCTGCCTCCCCTTTGATTTGGTATCCCCAGGTAAAGAAAGAAGAAAGTATCCCCTTGGTGTTTCTGTTATGGTTAACAGGGTCCTGTCCTTTGCACCTGGACTCTTTAAACAAGCTAATCTAAAAGGCCTGAAGTATTGCCGAGAGAGGTCAAACTGAGTGAGGCAGATTGACCCAGGAATAATTGCAGAAACTAGGAGTGTCAGGAAGAAAGAGACGGCATCAACCAGAGAGAGAGTGGGAGAGAGGGAGAAGATTAATCGGGTGAAGAGTAACCTGGGCAACTAAGCCCAAAGAAGTATTGGAACAGAGGAAACTGATGCAGAACAACAGTGGAGTAAAGAACTAAGCTAAGTTGAGGAAGAACCTGGACAAGCAACTCACACTCCTGGACAACAGAGAATAGAGACCAACCACCTGAAGAAAGGGGCAGGGTACCAGGAAGGTGGAGCCTGCACAAGACCAGCGTCCCTGCTAGGCAGACCTAAGTGCAAAGCATCATCTGTCTTCCCAAACATCATTAGAACATCAAGAGGTGGCAGGTGAGAGGGGAGGATGTGCCAGGGGTCCAGATAATCACAAGGGGGGAAAGATAGGTGGGAGGACCCACATGCTCACAAAGGAAAACAGTAACTAAGTGCTTGCTTGAAATTAAGGATCCTCTTCCCTCTCAATAGTGGGAGGAAGGGAAATAAACAGTAACAGGAAAACAATAAAGGTAGTCCAGAGTGCTTATGAACCTGAATTAACAAGTACTCAAGCAACAAGTAGCTTTTGCTATTAATTAATTTTGAATGGAAACACCTGAAAAAACATGTCAATTTCATATCTTAAAAGGCTGTCTCCCTTCATCTAGCAATATTAACAAATGGGAGAAAAGCAGGGTGGGGGGAAGAGCAGGTTATCAAGGAAGGGGGAAAAGTTTTTCTCAGATTCTAAGATCCCTCTAGTTTAGCGGTAGACTATGCTGCTGAACAACAAAAGAAGTTAATGCAAATTGCAAACCAAATCAGCAGTCACCCCTATTTTGAAGAACTTCTTTCTAATTGCACACACCTGTTCTGGTATGTTACTTTAAAAAGATATGACCAACTGTAACATTGCAAACCAATAGTCCCAAATCCCCATGACCAACATATAGTGTAATCCCTCTCCCCAAAAAAGTATGGAGCTCTGGGATGTCTGGGAAGATCTACAATCTCTATATATACACATCTTCTTTTTTCTGCTTTTTTCCTATTTAAAAGTTTTTATTCCCTTCCTCCTCCTCTTCAGCTTATTTAATGCCCAGTTTCTTCCTTTTTTGTCATTTTAGTCCTCCTTTTTCTCTTGCTCTTTAAAAAAAATTATCCTCTTCCCTTTTGCTAAGAGAAGAGATTTCTCTTCTTCCTTTAGTCTTTTCTTCATTTCCTCTCAATGGCAGCATTTTTTTTCTTTCTTTGCTACTTCAAATCACTTCTATCTCTGCTCAAGCATTCCTTGTCTGATTCTTAGGTGTCCCCAATAGCTTCTTTATCTTTGCTCTTATCCCTATCAGTACCCTTTCCTGGACTGGTCTCCTCCCATCACATAGGCCCTCAGCACTTCCCATGCTGCTTGG